TTTTTTTTTTTTAAGGGATTCATTGAGGGTACAGAGAACTAGGTTACACTGATTGCATTTATTAGCTAAATTTTCTCTTATAATCGTGTCCCACCTCCAAGTGGTATGTCACACTCTCTCTGCTCCCCCATTCCTCCACTGCCCACCACGTGCTAGGTCATCATTTGTCCTCATATGAGAATTGAGTACATAGGATTCTTGCTCTTCCATTCTGTGATGCTTTACTAAGAAGAATGTGTTTTGACCTCCATCCAGGTTAATACAAAAGATGTAAAGTCTCCATCTTTTTTTTATTGGATGAATAGTATTCCATGGTATACATATATCATAGCTTGTTAATCCATTCCTGGATTTTTTTTGTTTTTTTTTTTTAGAGACAGAGTCTCACTTTGTCACCCTTGGTAGAGTGCCGTGGCATCGCAGCAACCTCCAACTCCTGGGCTTAGTTGATTCTTGTCTCAGCCTCCTGAGTAGCTGGGACTACAGGTGCCCACCAGACGCCCAGCTATTTTATTTTATTATTGTTGCAATTTGGCTGGGGCCAGGTTTGAACCCACCACCCTCCGTATCTGAGGCCGACATCCTACTCACTGAGCTACAGGTGCTGCCCTCCATTCCTGGATTGGTGGGCCTTTAGGTTATTTCCACATTTTGCCAATTGTAAATTGAATTGCGTTAAACAGTCTAGTGCAAATATCCTTATGATAAAATGATTTTTTTTCCTTCTGCGTAGATCCCTGGTAATGGGATTGCAGGATCAAATGGGAGGTCTAGTTTGAGTTCTTTGAGGATTCGCCATACTTCCTTCCAAAACGGTTGTATAGTTTGCAGTCCCACCAGCATTGTAAAAGTGTTAGCATCTGCAGATTTGAGACTTTGTGATGTGGGTCATTCTTACTGGGGTTAGTTGGTATCATAGGGTGATTTTGATATGATGTGCATTTTTCTTTTTCTTTTCTTTTTTTCTGAGACAGAGTCTCAGTTTGGTAGAGTGCTTTGGCATCATAGCTCACAGCAACCTCAAATGCTTGGGCTTAAGCGATTGTCTTGCCTCAGCCTCCCAAGTAGCTGGGACTATAGGCTCCTACCACAATGCCCAGCTATTTTTAGAGATGAGGTCTCACTTTGGCTCAGGTTGGTCTCAAACGTGTGACCTCAGGCAATCCACACCCCCCTCAGCCTCCCAGAGTGCCAGGTGTGAGCCACCATGCCTGGCCAAGCATTTTTTTCATATGTTTGTTAGCCATTTGTCTGTATTCTTTACAGAAGGTTCTATTCCTCTCTTTTGCCCATTGATATAAGGAATTGTTGGCTTTTTTTATGTTGCTTAATTTGAGTTCTCTATAGATCCTAGTTATCAAGCTTTTGTGTGATTCATAATATGCAAATATCTTTTCCCATTCTGCTGGTTGTCTGTCTGGTTTGATTATTGTCTCCTTAGCTGTATAGAAGCTATTCAATTTAATAAGTCCCATTTGTTTATTTTTGTTGTTGCACCATCAAAAATCTTGTTAGAACCCACTTTGTCAGAAATCTGGAAAACTGTCCAAGGTTTACTAGAAGGAAGCAAACACTCAAGAAAAAGACAGCTTAAGAATAATGGGATGGGCGGTGCCTGTAGCTCAAAGGAATAGGGCACTGGCCTCATATGCTGGAGGTGGTGGGTTCAAACCCAGCCCTGGCCAAAAACTGCAAAAAAAAAAAAAATAGTGGGACAATCAATTCTCTTGCCTCAGTCTCCCTAGGGCTGAGTTTTGGTTGCCCATAAACTGACTCTTTCTTGGTTTGGTGGAAGTCTTAAAATGACCATCCTGCATTCCCAGTGTAGGACCCTGGTGCCTGCTTCCAGAGACAGTATAGCACATCTTACTCAGAAATAGTTGGTTATGTTCATCTCTGCTTTGCCTAACTCATAACTTACTCAGAGCAGAAAAGCTGTAAGGCTCAGAAATATTGTAAGGTAAACTAAAACCCTACAGCCACCTGGGCCATTGATGATGACACATATAGTCAGCCATGAAAAGCCTGGGGAGAAAAACTGGGAGAGAGTTTCTTGGGGGATA